AAATCTGACGAATCAAACATTTTGCTTTAAACTGCTCAGAGCAAATTTTTGATGCTGCTGAAATAATATTATGAGGAATCGAACTAGAGAATCGAAGATGTGGCAACCACAAAAATGTGGCATGTGTAACAAAAGCCAAAAACACAGTTTAGTGGTTGAATAGCAGCAGAGCAACCGCACGGACAAATGAGACAGCGCACTGACAGCCGACTGCATGCGGCAGCAACAACAACTAATAAAGCTGCCCTGCCATTACAGGTAAACAAAATGAGCAGCTACAGGAGGCAGAGCAAAGCACGGAATGAGAGTGACAGAGAGAGAGTGAGAGCGATAGACAGAGAGCAAAACTAAAACCAAATGCCAGACAAAAGGAAGCACAAATAATATAAATTAAATGTGTGTGCTTGGGCGTGAGTAGTGAGTGGGCCAATATGTCTATATGTGTGTGTGTGTGGGACTGTGGCTATATGTGTGTGAGTGTGTGCTTTATGGGTCGAACCCAAAGAAAGCCAAGCTGAGTAATTATTTCCGGCAGAGCGAGCAGCAAGTCCACCTTACACAGATTGAGTCCTGCGGTTTGACTGCAACACATGGCCGGACACTTGGCCCACAGCATAGCGAGCCACTGAGCCATCGGGCCACCCGGCCTCGGCTGCCGCCTAACAAAAACGCCCATTCTCAAATCGGAGGTGAATGTATTTGAAAATCTATCCGGGCAATAATTTCGGTTGACATGCTTGCGGTAATTATTGACCGTAATGACAAAACCCCAAAAACCAGAGAATCAGACCAAACAAATTGCTTTAGTTTTGCACTCTTGACTCGGCTCTCACTCTATGTGGGTGTGTGTGTGTGTGTCTGTGTGTGTGCGTTTGTTGTTGTGCCTTTCATTTTAATTGGATTTTGCCAACTGGCACAAAAACAGCATTAGAAAAAAGTGAAGAATTTAATTGATTTGTGCCTGAGTTATAGGCGTGCCTGGAAGACGTTCCGAAATTTTATGAGCGCCTCGCATAAATTTCAACAGCAATTTTTGTCAACAAAATTAAGGCCATCAAAATTGAATGCGAGATGAGAAATTTCAATCAAGCAGCGCATAAACTAAACATGAACTCTATAAATATATGAGAATATTAGCATATATATGTGAACGTTTATATATAGAGATATACATATATCATTTTTGTAGAAAAGTGGGCGATAAACATATAAAATGAGGGCTTGACTTTAAGGAAGCGAAATCTCGCTATAAACAGCTTCATTTTTTAGATGTACTAAAACTTTGCATAAAATAATATTCCATGCCGCGCAACGCCGGCCACGTATAAATAGCCCATTTATCTATAGCTACCTGTACAGTGCGTATTTGTGTAGCTCGTTTGATATGTGATTTTCGGTTTTCGTGATTTGTCAGCTTTCATAATATACGATCCCACGAACAGTGCCTCCCAAAACATTATCACCAAATCATTTATCTAATATATGGATGCATATGTTATTGAGTGGCGTGGCCCGGTCTGGCCAGGCTAGCACACGCAGAACATGTCCAAAAACCAATTAATAACATGTCTATAAGCTATTTTCGGACACACCAAATGCCGGCTGTGCTAATTCTGTTTCAATGTCGACTATTTCGACGCAGATGTTGCAGAAAATTCATAAATTATGGCAATTATTCGTTTCAGTTGGAAATGCTTTATTTCTGGAATCTATCAAGTTACTGGATGTTGTTTAAAGGGACTAGCTGGCTCAAGGAGATGATCATTAATGTCAGTGGGATTTGTTTTAAAGTCAATATTTTACATGTGATGTGGTGAATAATTTATTTATATATGATAAGTCGATGAGACTTCAAGCAGGCAACACCTCCATTAAATATTTGATTGAATCTCAATTAGTACGATTTCAACTGCTCTTGATTTCTTTTTGTTTTTTAGAGCAATCGTATTATATATATATATATATACTGTGTATATATTGTGAGATCTTCCCTTAAATACGCTTATATAGTCATCCACAGTCTAAATTCGAAAATCCAATTAAACTTAAGCCCTCTTATTTTGCAAAGTAGTATAAAATGCAGCTATCGAAAATAATATATCATAATTAAAGGGTATTTAATATTCTTTATTCAACATGTTTTTATGTTAATATTTACCTTTTGTTTCATAATCCATAAGCTGTACATATATATACCAAAACACAAATATTTGTTCGTCAATCAAATTAAAAAACACTCAAGAATATTTCTAAACGCATTTTGTTTGACTGCAGCCTTATCTAAATACATCATCTTCAGCTTCATCTTCATCTTTAGTCTCGAGCTCACGACGTATTCATCTTTAGTAAGTGGCTCACTTGATGGCAATTGGGAATTGGAACTATTATGCGAAAGCTTCCGCAGCACTCGCGACACACAGACAAGTTGAATGATTTCTTTGTATGACAAATTGCTTTATGGGCGTTTGTGTGGCACCAAGGGGGCGCGGCAGTGAGACGAAAATGTCGACAGAGATGTTGAGGAACTTCTGTGCTCTCTCAATCTTTCCCTCCCTCTCTCTTTCTCTCCTCGCAATCGCTGTTAATTCACTTGATGGGTGAAGTGCGAGGTCAAATCTTTCAGTTGACACAAAGCGATCGCTCGCAGATGCACACGCAAAGATACAGATACACAGCTATAGATACGGCCAGAGTGACGACATTAGTAAACAATATAAATAAACATAGTCGTGTTGATCGCTCCGAAACTGCAGCTACTTGAACTGAACTTTATTTCATTTTCTTTTTATTGACTTTATTATGATTATTTTTTCCACCGATTCTTTTTGGCACTCGCTCAGACTTTTATCGCTGTCTTCCATAATTTTTCACTTAGAATTTGCTGCCATCACATTTATATGCACAGTAAACATTTGTTGTTGTTGGCCACTTTGCACTTTTAGCCAAGATTTTTCGCACTGCAGGCGACATGATTTCCAAAAGCAACGCACTGGGCCGTATTAACTATATACTAGACAGATATAGATATATGCTATATATTATATACTAGATATATGTACATATATTCGCTGAGTACATGCATATGTGGGCGCTGCCCACGATATAAACAAAAACAAGAACAAACACATGAACACGAAACGCGACAACCGGCTAAGATGCAAACGGAGACGCGAACGATGCGCGGACGCGGCTGTCGAGGCAGAGTTCGCTCTGCGTGAGGAGCAGCGCTGACAACGTCCAAGTGAGCACTGAGCCAATCGACTTGACAGTCGACAGTCCATGGAGCCCACCGAGCACAGCAGCAGCATCAGCAACAACAACAACAATAATGTTGACGCCAGCGCTGCGAAAAATGATTTTTCCGAATATATCAAATAAATATATAAATATAATAATAACAAAAACAAAAAATAGATGGGAAAAATATAAATTATATTGCATGTCGCTGCTGCCCGTTGAATTCATTTAGAAACTAATTAATTTTTCAGTTTCTGGGGGGGTGGACGCAGGTCGCTGGGGCGGGGGTGCTTGGGCTTGCTGTGGCAAGACGACGACACTTTTGCATGTTGTACATAATTTCAATCAAAACTGAAATTAGCAACAAAATTCGGGCAGTGTTGTTGTTGTTGCTGCTGCGTTGTGCTCAAGTTGTTTGTTGCATTTGCTGCTCTGTTTATTTGCCGACTGAAAGAGGCGTCTGTCGTTATCAATTAATGTCCACAGCGGAGACAGAAGAGCCGTGTAACAAAGAGCCAGGGGGAGGGAGTGAGGTAGAGAGAGCGACAGAGGCGCTTGTGCGTGAAAGAGAAAGAACGAATTTCAGCAAGCAATAAAGCAGAAATCATTCTTCAAAAACAAATCTCTACAATTTCTCATTCTCACTCTCTCTAAATTTTTATTCTTTACAGCACGCCCTCTCTCTCGTAACGCAGCGCCAAAAACAGATGTTTTTCTTTTATTTTTGATACTTGTTCCCCTCATTTTCTGTTCCGCATTGTCTGCGGAGGTGAGTTCTCTAAGTGTTCGCTTGACATTTTGTCAGTCGAATTAAGCGCTCATTAGCTCGACAGCGATCGTGTCTTCCACCCACCTCACTTTCATTGTAGGGTCGCTGCTGTGTGCGACGCTGTGCCCAAGCTGTGTATGTGCACATACTTATACATACATAGATGTGTGTAAATACATAAATTTTCTTTTATAAATTGTGTATTTGTTAGGAATCTGAAATGTTTCGCTTGATATGATAAGCTTATTAAGCTGCTGCTGTGGCAAGTGAAGATGGACTGCTTGACTTCTACAAATTA